ATATATGTTGGCGTCCAATGTGAGATTCAGGCCAATCTAAGATCCGCCTAGGCGAAAGTGGAATTCCACATTGGACTAGTCCAAAGTCGGATTACTGCTATTTCACAGCGTAAAACTCAATTTACTTCACAAATTGATATGATCCATAGGTAAGAGTAAGAGTATGAGCCACGCCGAGGTTTTCCTGTCGATTGCCGGCTTCAAAATGAAAATCTGAATTGTAGAAAAAGTTTTATTTAAGTTTTAGTAAAAGTCTCGTAGTAATCGAAAATCAGCCTCGATTTTCATTTTGAAGTCGGTAAGCGATAGGAAAACTTCGGCCTCACTCATACTCTTACTCTTACCTATGGGCCATATCAGTTTGTGAAGTAAATTGAGTTTCACGCTGTAAAATAGTGGTAATGCGGCTTTGGACTAGTCCAATGTGGAATTCCACTTTCGCCTAGGCGAATCTTTGATTGGCCTGAATCTCACGTTGGACGCCAGCATATATATATATATATATAGAAGATAGATACAGATTTAGATTTCTGTCAATTATGTATTTATTGCAAAATTGAAAAGATTATTATAATTAAGCTGTTACATCTAATTCATACTTGTGAAGAAAAGATGTCCTTAGTGCGTTAAACCTCTGTAAACTTCATTATACTTTTCTCAATTTCTTTCGCCAAGGTAATAACCTAAAGCAATATCGACAAAAGAAGACATTAATTTAGTTTAGTATTCATACAAGATGCGTTTTTATTCACCTGAGGTGGCTTCATAATTGTGAAATGAGTTCCAGGAATGACTATGCATTCTGCAATAGGAATCAATTCATCCCATCCTCCAAGATCATGGACTTTCTTCGGATGGAATAACCAATCAATTGTTTTATTGCGGCTAAGATCTGTGGGGATTTTGAGATTTTTGTATATGTTCAGCTCAAGCGCGCCATCTTTCGACCAAAAAATGGAGGTTTTAAGAGTTTTTGATGGATCCATAGGCTTTGGTGCATATTGTTTTAGAGTCTTAAGCGTTGCAACAAAATGCCGCTTGAACGATTCCGAAAACTTAGTAGCACCTTCAGTTATGGCGTCAAAAGTATGAATAGAATCGAAGAATTCAATACTTTCGGATGGTAATGGTGGAAATGTTAGTGGGCATGGGGAGTCAATGAGTATCAATCCTAACACTTCTTCACCAGAAGTAATCAATTGAGTTGCCGCCTCGTACGCTACCACACCTCCTGAAGACCACCCACCTAAAATATACGGCCCAGAAGGTTGTATTTTTCGAATTTCAGTGAGATAAATCGCAGCAATTTCTTCCATTGTACAGGTAAACTCGGATGGACAATCAAGGAAAGGGCTGTTGAGTCCATACATAGTTATATTGGTGTCACCCAAAGGCAGATACATGTATGAACTAGCTGATCCGAGTCCTTCTGGAAATAAGAATAATGGCGAACGATTGGTTGGTGCGCCATGAAGGAGAACGGGCGAACATCGTCTTTTTGAAGTGATAATTTCTGTTCGAAGACTAGGTACTGCATTTGGTGTTCGCTCTTTTGAATTGAATCCAAAGTTTTCGATCATCTCCGATAAGGTGATTCGCTCCCGAAAAATAGCTGTCGGCAAATCGATTCCAGTTTTTGACCGAATAAGATTTTTAATTGACAAACAAGTTTGATCATCAATCACTAAGTCAGCAAGTATAGTTGATGCAAAGATTTTGTCTACATTACAGCCTATCTCACAAGCGATGATAGAACTTATTGTACTAGCTGCTTCGTCACTCGAACGATAATTTGAGGTATTCAAAGTATTTTTCAATGTCATATCTGATGGCAGATATTTAGAGTTGGATGATCGTCTAGTTCTGTCTGAAACTTCAATCTGTTCCGGTTGATTAACACCCATAAACCTTTTAAGATCCCCAATAGTAGAATGAGTATAAAACAGTGAACTTGGAACGTTGAAGTCAGTTAATTGGCGAAGTCGTTCTATGATTGAAATGCTAAGTAAGGAGTCAATTCCAATATCAAGCAAATTCACATCGTCGTGAAGCTTTGACTTTTTCACTCCGATTTCGCACGCGATCATTTCCAAAATCTCATCAAAAGGAAATGTGTTCGAGCCAGCCGTTAATGGCGTACTAACATTAGATAAAGGAGCAGTTATTTCTGAAATGGTCTCTGTTTTTTGGGCAACATTTTTAGCAGCATTGAACGTTAAAATATGGTTTAAAATAGAGAGTCGAATTTGTTGAAACTGAAGACCAGTACAAACGGCAACGATCCTGCTTTCTTCAAAAATATAGACATCACCAGTCATCTTTTGACCGTTATCGATTGATTGCATACGAACGTAATTCTTGTAAGATTTATTACTCGAAAGTTGACCCACAATACGCATACTTTTCCAGCTATGTGCAATATAGGCGAAATCGTTATGGAGAGCGTCTGTACTGTGCAGAACAAAACCTGATAGATGAAGAATACTGTCCAGCCAGTAGGGATTATATTCGAATGAACCATCTTCAACTGTAGTCTGAAATTTTATATTTGCAGTGGCTTCAAGCATATTGCTATCCATCCAGACCTCGTCCATTCCGCGATACCTCTCAGAATATTGTACAAAAACAGAGAAAAGTCTATAGGCTATATCTCTAAGTAAACGATGAGCCCTGCCATGTTCAGCGGCTTCGACGAGGCTATTCATGCGGCTTTGAATAAGATAAGCTTGTCTATTCCACTCAGTCGTCCATTCTGCACCATCGCCATACTTGACAACACAACTAGCATGTTGTTCCTTTGTGGATCCCTATATTAAACATTAGTATCAGAGTAAAATAATCGCGGAAAAGACGAATAAAATCCTTCTCAGCATATCTTACTTTTTTCGAAGTGAATATAAACTCGATCGTATCAGAATTTGCGTTACTAGTAGCGGTAATGTACACATGCTGCTTTTCCAAACTGTTGCTTAAAATCAAAGGTTGTACCATTTTCATATTCACGATATCCATTGAAATCGGTAACGCCGATCGATTGCGACGATTATGAATATACTTTGCAGCAGTAAAGGCCATATCGGCGTACACAGAAGCCGGACATACTGCGACTTTATTCACCAGATGTCCTTGGATAACATTTTGAAATTTAGACTCAAAAATGTCTGAGACAAAAGTAACGCTGGTGTCGCTCGCGCCAAAGTTTTCATTATGAATTTCCTGTAGTGTGGTCGTACCGCAAAAGAATGCAGTTGATTTTTCGATAAACTCGCCGCCAGAATTCCTATTTTTCTTGAGACACCAATCTCCTTCGTACTGAATCCAATAGTTTTGTAAGTCGAAGGCGTACGTGGGCAGCGTCAGTAGTCGATGACTCGCTTCGTACTCCCTATGATACGCCATCCAGTTAATGTCAACACCACCCACATACAATTTTGCAATGCTCTTAACCATGGACATAAGATCTGATTGCTTCCTCTTCAAGGTCGGTATAAGTAAAGGCTCTGGTACATTTAAAACTGATTTCGCCATATTTAAACAAACATCACTAGGACCAATTTCCAGCCATCGAGTTTGCTCGTCGACTATACCGCTTTTGTCACACGCTCCAAGTGCTTCAGAGAACCTTACCGGATCGCGAGCATGGCGGCAGAGATAGTCTACCGAAAAGACACCTTCCTGTTGCACAATATTTCCGAGTAGAGTGGATGCAACGGGAATATTTGGTTTAGAAAACGATACACCTCTTGCATTGAATCGAAAATCCGCCAAAATTGGATCCATTTGTGACGAATGAAAAGCAAAAGATGTTTCCAGTTTTGATGTTTTGACACCGATCGACTCATAAAAGGTTTGTAAAATAGATATTTGTGAGATGCGCCCGGCAACCGTAGTACACTGTGGACTATTAAAACATGCAATTTCACAAGAATTCTTATTTTGTTGAAGATCCTGGCTAACTGCTGTTGCATCCCGCATAACAGCCAGCATAGCATGGGTATCTTGGGTACACAAAGCAGTCATCAAAGATGCTCTCTTCCCTACAAGATAAAATACATCATTGACTGATAAGACACCAGCAACACATAATGCAGCATATTCTCCAAGACTATGGCCAATGACAAGAGTTGGTTTTATGCCATAATATAACCATAGATTTGCCAAGGCGAGTTGGAGAGCAATGAATGCAAGTTGAGTCTGAATTGGAGACAATGCTTCGAGGTTCTCTGCAGTACCATCGATCAGAGCTTTAAAACTAGGAAAATTCTGCCTCTGACAAAGATTGTCATATTCTAGAATATCTCTACGAAATATAAAGCAGCTGTCAAATAGTTCTTTGCCCATCCTAAAATAATGACTGCCCTGACCAGAAAAGACGAATACTGTCTCTACTGCTGAAGTTCGGATTGGCGCATCAGTTGAGGTGACTAAATCGTGTAAGGAGTCTTTCAGCTCAGAAATACTACTGACTGCAAAAGCTGCACGAAACATGTAGTGCATTCTACGAGCAGTAGTAGTGTAGGAAACATCACCAACGGGTACCTCAGGATAATTTGTGATATATGCCAGAAGACGCTTGGCATTTTCTTTTAATGAAAATGGTGTTTTTGCTGAAACAGTAACTACATGAACAGTTCGAGGATCTACTCCTTTTGTAAGAAGAATTGGCGCATCTTCAATAAGTATTGCACTATTTCCAGCCTGTAAACATAAATATTTAAAATGAGCACTAATAATTATGAAAAGTACTGACAGCAGCATCAAAATTATTGACAACAACGGTTCGGTTTTGATTCTTTGCACGACGTTTGAACTCAAGTGGGCTTTTGACAATATGAATATGCAGCGTATCCAATGGAGGAAATTTTGAATTTATCCGCTTTTTTATGCCAATATGTGGTGGGATAGTATCGTGTTGTAACATCAGAATTGCTTTGATAATAGAAGTAACACCTGCAGCCTGCAAAATTCAACTGATTGGTTGAACATATTAGAAATATTAGAGTCAATTTAAGATTGATAGAGAAACGTATAGTTCACGAAGTGTTAGAAATGAGAAGTCGCTAAACAAGTGCTAAAATGTTTCTCAGTTGTGAAAATTAATCATTGTTTAACGAATAATCCACCATTTTGTCTTGCATAGACGAAGAGCACTAATAAATATACGGTAAAACCTCTCTACTGTGGGCACCATCGGAATTTTTCAACGTCTCTACTACAAGATAATGCTTTGGTGACAAAGTACGTGTGTTTCTAGGCATCAGAAGATTTTCAATGAATACGCCAGAACACTGCCGTTTTTCTTTACTTCTCTTTACATCAACTTTCGCCTTTGAAAGGTGAACAGTTTGTTACAAAGTAGTAAAATCTCATGTATGGACACTATCGAACTTATCAAAAATCCGCATCGCATGGATTCACATAACAAGGTCCACTATACAGTGATTTCTACTGTAAAGAGTGCTCGATTCGCAGAGGTTCAAATACAACAGAAGTAGTCTGTTGGACCATAAAGTGTCCACTGTAGTGGAGTGTCTACTGTGAGAGATTTTACTGTACTACTATTCGTTTAAGTGACAGAAACCACATAAATAATGAGCTGAAAACTATATTTCGATGTGTTTTCCCAAGAAATCCAAAATAATCATTAGAATTAATTATAAGTTGAACAATATAGTCTAAGTCGATTGCGATTTTGATTTTGATCTCATTACACAACAATCTGCACGTATTATCGTCTTTTTCAATATATTGGAAAATCAACGATTCCTTTACATTATAATTGTATTTGTTTCTACATTAGTACACATCAGCATTCTTTTCTTATACAGAATTCGTTTTTGTAAAAGCTATCCAATATCTACTTTCTTTAGAATGCATGGTACTTACGGCCTCAGAATGACCAACATTTGCTTTCACAGATCCAATAAACAATGGTGTACTAGAGTCGCGACTGTTTCCAAAAACATCGATAATGGAGTGAATTTCGCATGTATCTCCGGCTTGAGTTCCTGTACCGTGCATCTCGATATAATCGACATCGCTTGGATGAACATTGGCATTATTCAACAGCTTACGGTATAATCGCTGCTGAGTATTTACATGAGGATGTGTTATGGACACGGCCTCTGCGGAATGATTAGTCACAGCTCCGCGCACGACACCCAGAATATTGTCATTGTCAGCGATGGCATCTTCGAGTCTCTTCATTATAATGCATGCAACAGCATCTGAACGACAATAACCGTCTGCTTCGTCATCGAACGTTTTACATGATCCCGTGCGAGAAAGAAAATAAGCACGGCTCAGTCCAGCAAACAGATCGGATGATGTTAAAATATTTGTACCGCCGGCCACAGCAGTGTCACATTCACCATTTACTAATGCGGAATATGCAAGCTGAACAGATGCCGCACTTGAGGAACATGCGGTGTCTATGCTGTACGAAGGACCCTCCCATTTAAAATAGTAGCTTATGCGTCCAGGTCCGAATGCACGCAATCCACCTGTAATATAGTAGATGTCAATATTTTGAGATGCGTTTACTTCACGCCAGTCGTCACTAGCTTGTCCGAAAAAAGTGCCGATCCTATGCGTGTTCGTTGACGGTGTCCTATTAGGAACATACCCAGCCATTTCCAACGCTTCATATGTGGTTATGAGAGCAAGACGCTGTTGAGGATCTGTCTGAGCTGCCTCCCTTGGAGACATATTGAATAGGCTGATGTCAAAGAGTCCAGGTCGGTCAATAAAACACCCATATTGTGTCAAAGTCGAGTTTCTAACGGCTCCTGTGGGATCATAATGAGTTTTTACATCAAAGCGATCACTTGGTATCTGTGAAAAAGCGTCAATAAAAAAGAAGATTGTTGCTATGAGAATAAATTGAAAACAACGTACTTCTCGATGAACGTCTACCCCGTCTATTAAACTTTTCCAAAACTCTTCAAGATCTTCACTACCAGGAAATCGACCACTCATTCCAACAATCGCTACATCACCCTTTCTGTAATTATGAGATACTATCGGTATATCTTTATCAGTATCTTTTACATGAATCGTCACATCAGTTTCACGAAGTCTGTCTACCAAACTTTTGCATGCCTTAGCTGATGCAAATGAATAAACATCAATATTATCAATTTTTTTTGATTTAATTATTGCAATGAGTTCGACGATAACAGAGTTCCATTTCAATGGCTTGATCAAAATATCGTCAATGATTTCTGTCAGAAGATCTCGAAGGTTCGATACGCGGAAGTATTTACCATCTCGCGTGGAATGAATTTGCCTAGATATAAGCTGAGTTTTAAGTTCCGATTGACCGCCCATAATGTCTTCAGCGTCTACCAAACCCAAGTGACTGGCATGATACGCTGTTTTGATTGAAAGGGGAATGTGATTGAAAGCGGCAAGTGGTTGACCCGCTGTAAATAAAATTTTCAATGTTGATGGCGGTCCACTTATTGTTACGGAAGAGATAGATTCGGCACTAACATATGCTTGCTTATTGGGAACAATATTCTAAAGAAGAAAACGAAACGGAGTTTTCTTTAGAATGTTAGCTCTATTTTTTTCGAGTGACAGTTAGATTTTTTACTCCATTCACAGGTACCTGTTCTTTCTGCGAGGCGCTAATCATTGATTGCGCTTCGGTGGCACAAAGATTTGTGACCAACATTGACCAAGTATCCTTAACGCATTTCTCCGGTTCTAAATGTTCAGCTCGACGTTTTGCCACTAATCCGATTTTGAAGCAAACTCGTACGATAGCCACTGCTGTTGTCACTAAATGAGTGAGGGATTTTGATGCTGCCACAGCTGCAGCTGATAGAAGACCGGTGCAAAGACCGATATAAACGGTATCGGACGATGGATGCGAGTCAGACGCAGTTTCCAAAAGCCTACATTCAATCAAGACGATTACAACGTAAGAGTCAACAGAGTTATCCCGACGCAAAATATGCACATACCTGATGAAACAACCAAGTTGAGCCATACAGAGAAGTATACCATTAAGAGCATCATTATGACCACACGATTCATAGGCATTATTCACGAGTTCGTTGATTGAATTAAATGCAGGAAATCGATCCTGCTCGAAACTAGTCAATGAGGATATTTCGCATTTCAGAGCATTACAACATTGCATAAAGAAATCTGCAAGTGGTCTTAAGACTTTTGCAGAGCGCAACAGATCCTGAAGTTGATAAATCGAACTTTCAGTCTGATCCCCGAAAACGAACACTTGAATTTTAGAATTTGTCATGATGGTGTATTGTAAATGTATACTGATGACGCTCAGAAAATGTTTGCTTGACAAATAATTAACCTTCGTTTGCGAAAGTAGCACAGAAAACTGTAGTATCTAGAAAAAAACTATATGGTGATTGATTAATCGTGCTAAAGTGAAGTGAGTCTTAGCACGCGAGCTACAGTGTCTTGCTATTCTTTTATTCTAATTACCGTTTCTAGTTTGCATTAAAGCTAGCTCCATCCGAAAAGTGAAATTCTGTCAATACCGTAACACTTAACAATAAAATCAAGACTCAGTCAAAATCGATATTCATTACTAAGTATTAGTACTGACACATCGAAAAGGACTCTGCCGCATACGATCGGATATATGTCATCCTTTCATATTTCAATCTTAAGAGGCGGTCCATCAGAAAGCAGGAGACTTTGAATATATGACAAATCATGTGAGTTAACGGATTTTGGGCGTGACTTCATAGGAAGCTAGACACTATTGAGCTATATATGAATCCAAAATATTACCGCCTAAATACTTACTCAAAAGAAGATAATACCTACCGAATCATAGCACCCCCATAAATGGCCTAAACATGAGCTAGATCAAGTTCTTTTGTAAGGTTGGCGACAGGCCAAACTCGAGCAAATTGTTTCTGCTGATTCTTTTTAATGTGATTTGATGCAGTTTGATGCGCTGAATCCGAATATATATATATATAATTAATTCAGATAAAAAGCCGTTTTAGAGGAGAAATCCTGAAAATACTGAAAAATCGAGGCTTTCAAAAAACAGGATTTTCAATGCAAATTTGGCAATAGGGATTTTAGAAGATATACTATAGCTTTGGAAGTTTCTTCTTCTGATTCGGGATTAAAAACCGATGAAGGGACACTACTTTTCAGCCGTTCGACTCATATCTTTGTCGTTGAAAAAAACCAGTTCTGTTAATACCAAGATTAAATGAGTGTCTCTCATTGAAAATGTATCAACTCATTTTCTAGTGAAGATACACACATTTTTCTCTCACCATTCGACTTCTTCGACGCTGTGGATATAATCTACGAATTATCTTTCCTTAACTCATTTTCTTTCTGAAAATTTCCCAATCAATTATTTACCTCTCCTGTGGTAGATGCATTTTTTACCCTTAACAGCATTTTTCGCTTATTTTCTTTTTTCTAATCCAAATACATTTCAAAATAAGAACGATCACTTTTCTGATCAGTTCACGACAGTATGAAACTATTTTTAGGTATACCTATTCATGTCTGATATGATCCTGGTTGAAGGTAACTGTAATGTCGATGAGCTTAAAACTTTAAAAAAAAATCTTTCGCATGTAAATATGACCGACAACAAGCGTATCAGCGGGCGAAGATGCCTATGACACGTGGGTGTTTTCATGAGTGTTAAAGACATGGAGACTGCACCCACCCTTAACCCACGTAATTTTACCCACACCCTCAAGATTTCTATTTGTATTTTTTCGAATAGAAAAGAAATCTGAAATGCAACGGGGCCTTTAAGAACTCTATAAAAATAGCGCGCTCCCAATTCAAATTATAGTGTTCGGTTAGTTCTTCCGGAAATTCCGCCCGGTATGGAAAAATATATCCGATCAAGCTGAAATGTTCAGCAATTGAAGATCTTTCTACTCTTATTTTATTGTAAAGCGATCAGCTTTCCAACTCATCGGCATCATAATTTTTTGATCTCATAAAATCCCACCCCATTGGACAAGAACTGAGCTCGAATCAAAAGCGAAGATTCTATCCAGAATCCAATTGGACTCGATCGGATTGATGGGAGAAGGTTTGCATTCGAAGATGTTCGAATTCGGCGAATTCCGGGTTGACAGACTCGCAATTGGAATAGTTTTCAATCCGACAAATTTAAGATCGAAATGTCGAAAAGATTAGGGTATTAATTCAGACGATATTGATTGGAGTTGAATGATATTTATGACATTAGCTTGATGCAAAATGAACGACCGGTTTTTGTTAGTTTGGGCAGTAGTGAAAAATGATCGTTGATTATGCATGAACCCAACAATAGAGGATACTTCTAGCTAGGTAAAAAGAAATACCTATACTTATATAGCAAAAAATCTTGAATGAAACAAAAACAACGTTTATTCGAGTTTGCCTTTGAGGAATACTGCAATATCAAGATTGCCAGCTGTTAAACGACACCGTTCGTTTCTCCCGATAAAACGTGATACAGAAAGTGCCGTTCCAACGGCACGCTTGCGCTCGATGTAGTCAAACAGGGACGCGTGGGTTATTTTATTTTGGTTAACGAATTTTTTCGAGCCCGAACCTGTTCGAAAACGAATCCAGTTGAATTCAAATATTCGATTTTGATTCATGCCTACACCCAGCATGGTTTATATGACTTTTTGCAATCATGTGGTGAAAACTTTCTACTTAAATGTGAACATGAATCCGAACTTCATATACACTGATGAAATATTTTGATCGATTCCCGTTGGACTTATATACATCTACTGCCCATATAACGATATAGAAAACATTTCTTCGAAGTGTCCTGATTGAGAAATAGCATACGAGGCCTTATGAGCCTATAGTGCAAAAATTACACCTTGCGATAAACTTTTCTCACTTATACGGAACTTCGGATAATTTGTGTTGTTCATTTAGTAAAGTAATACTCTAACAGTACCTAGTAGTGTACTCACGAAGGGACCTCCCGAAGTGATTAACGAGTTTAAAGCTCATCTTTTGGCCATAAGCAGACCTCGCTGTTGTATCAAAAACCACCAAAGGATTTGGGCCCTTATGGCTTTGTTTCCGAGTTATGATCGTTTTACTCGATTTCTAGCTTATCGCAAGGCATTTCAATAAAATTCTAGGAATGCATTTTCGACCTGAAATTTTGCCTATCGAAAGGTCTCATCGATACTAGATTTCTCTAAAAATATCAGCTCTAATGAATGTCTCCTTCGAAAGATAATGAATTTGAAACATAGATCAATTATTTTCGAGTGATTGATAATAGTTGTACTCGGAGAAGCGTATCAGATGAAAAACATAAGGAGTCATAGAGAAATATCGATAGTTTTTCAATAACCCAGGAAGCACTCGTTCGATCAGTCTCATCTGCGAGCTTTAGCGAGGCTCTAATGTAACAATGCACCATCGACGACTTTATTACAATCAAATGGGCTTTTCAGGAGATGTCGTGTAGACCAAAGGCAGAGAACACCCTAATTAGTTGTACTATTACGCTTATTTTATCAGTGCACTATAACACTGAGATGTTCAAAAATTGTCCTTAGTAGCATATTTTCAACACTTTGACTCTCTCCAACTGAAGCACAGATTTTAGGAAAATATATATTTTTGAACGGATTTCTACGCTTTGCATCATCCAGCACATTTAGAATAGCTTTGTGTAACGATAACGCATTTAAAGATGATTTGAGTAAACTTATTCAAGTACATCAGCTGACACTCATTCTCTTTATCTTCATGCATTTACATATTTCCCTAAGTGTAAATCTGCCGTGCAAAACTTATCAACCATATCTATGGTAGAAATCTATGATGATTATATGGGCGGTTTAGGTGAAAAACATCTTCGCCCTCAAGGATGCAAGTATTTGTACTTATGCTTTTTGTACTTTCTTAAGTAAAAGTAGCTCATTGGTACTCGTACTTCACACAGAGTACTTGATATTTGATAATGAACCTAAATAGACTATAGCTTGGCAGAAATATATCAATTTCGTTAGGAATAGATCGTTTTGAGCTATCGTCTGGCGGTTATCTTTAGATTTAAAAGACGGCCCACCAGCCACTCGAGCACCATCACACCCTCAAAATTTCCGATCCCCATTTTTTAAGATCGTAAACGAGAGCGTATCGTACAAAACCACTGAATCCAAACCTTTAGCTCGTTTAGACTTACTTTTGAAAAGTTACGATAAAAATACAGAACCATGCTATCCTACTTTTTAAGAGGCGATCCACGAGAAAATAGGCCTATTCACACGTAAACGTGCATACGACAAATTTTTATTTTGAATTGAGTCAGCCCATTCGATAGAGCATGAAAACTTATGCCTAGGAACAAATTTCTAGCTCTTCTGATCAATCCTATCAAGAGTGACAGTGTAATCTTTAAATAGTCCTCGCATGATATTTTGAAAAATTTGAGCATTTCTCATATTTTTCTTACGCTTCATACAACTCAGCGAGATGATACTTACCACTCTGATTTTTCAACATCAATGAGTACCTCGTGGTTAGATCTATCCCGT